GATATTACAAAATGCCAAACTTAAAAGAGGAAATAGTTTGTCTTCTGTTTAATTTGGCCCAAACCTAAAGGCAAAACTGCATGTTGAATCTCTCACAAGCGACCAGAACAACAAGATTCAGCTTCCCAAAGCCGTTTTATGGAAGATTTCTCCTCACTGTTGAAAAGGGAAGAAACAAATGAGATTTCTCCTCCACCATCATTACATGCATTTCTTTAATGTCTAAGTTACCATCRACTTATTAAAACACCACACGGCGTTTGACCTTGCTATTAAAATTATTTGGAGATTAAAAGCAAGCACAAAAAAGCATTAGAAGGAAGGCATGGCACTTATACAGTACATTAGAGTGGGCTATATAGTACTGAGAGCTCTCAATGGAGACAGGACTGAACCAAATCTCAGGTTTACACACAGGGACAAGAAACAAAACAATAAAAGCTCAATTTGTGATCTCAGAGCCAGGACTACCAGGAATGCCCCTGGTTCTGCTAAAGCCTTCAATGTTTGAATGTTAGGTGCTCTTAATACCACGGTGAGCGGGAAATAAAGTGCTCTTTCAACTGAAAGTGAACACAGTTTGTTATGTAAATGAAACGAGAACCCCAGGAACAAAATCTCAGCAACATACGGCTATCTTTGGTAAACATTTGTTTGTAATATCTTTTAAAAATAGTACTGTCAACTTAAGTGATTGACGATTTCACCTCATTTATCACTGACAACTAGAATTATTTTTTCAGCTGTGGATCATGTTAATTGTGGAAGCTAATAGATAGGAATGTGAGGTAAATGGTCTCAATACCTTTAATATATGTGATGACTTTACCAGACTTGCAGTACTGTATTTACTGTAACCAAAAGGTCATGCTCTGTATTTTAAAGGTAAACAGTGAACTTTTCCACATCAGTCACACTTCTGCAAGTTATATACAAAAATATATTTAGAAAAGGCACTTAGGATCCTCTCTCTTTTTAATTAATCTTAGTTTCATATGCTTCAGAAAAGGCTCTCAAATTGAGACACACATAAAACAGAGAAGATCAGAACTATGGGGCTAGCAAACCAGGCATTTTAGTAAGGGTGAATTAAGGCTGTTATAATTTGCGTTACTGACAAGAAGCGCTCTTTTCTGCAGAAAGGTAAATATTGAGGAAATTGTAAGATTCCATTGTTCATTTCAGTATTAAATAGAAGAGCAATTTCATAGACACTGTGGTTTATACACTGTTAGTTACCCTTAAGTAGTGAAATTCCATTCACATCTTAAATCTGTCTTACAAAGACACTGTACATGTGACCTGTATAATAAAACACTTCTGATACAGTTTCGTTAATAAACATTTTTTGCAAGTATCAAAAATATGTCAGCAGAAACGGGAACTTTGAAGGATATATAACTTGGAATTAAGGAAAAGGAATAATTTGAGGGCCTAATCTCTGAGAATATCCAATTAAGAATGCTGGCATCTGCAGTCTGCTATGATAGGTATATGACACTTTTGGTTTTGATGCAAGATATATATTAGTGGAAAATGGCTATGTGCTTTCAACCAAGTGTGATGAGGTAACACTGGAAAGGAAATGCTGTTTTTGCATGTGCTAATAGGATGTGGAATGGATTAATTCCTATAAAAGAATTATAAGAAATTTTTAGAGAACCAACCTTAACACACAGCAGGAATTGTTGCTCTAAAGGGGTTGTGTCAAAGTTGACAGGCCCAAAATGTAACCTACCACAAAATTAAACTTTTTATGAAATGCCCTTTTGATCCTGAAAAATCTATCAAGCTTCCAAATCCAAAGCTGTCACATTGTTAAAATACCAGATACTTTCCTGTGGACATTAAACTTAGGCTTGGTTTTACAACATGTACATGCAAGTCATGATTTTGTTCTCTCCTCCATGTTATCTTTGGGGTATATGCAAGATATCCATAACACTAGATCTTTCATTTGGGACTTTCATGACGTAGAATTTCAGTTAGCAGCAATTTATAACAAAGTGATAACATGAGACCTCTATATTGCAAAGGTAAATGTCTTCTTAGGAGAAGGACAGTTGCTCTTATTCATGAAAGTTGCCAAACAACAAAAGGATTTATTTTTATCTTGTTTGGCTTAATACATGCAAATACTTTCCAAGGCATGTTTAAATGCAATAAGTTATAGTTATGTGGCATATTAAAAAGTAACAGCATTTCACTTCTTTTCCCTGTCACTTTGACTTTGAAACAAAGAGAACTGTGGCTGCCAGTTTTTTTTTTTTTTTTTTTTTTTTTTTTTTTTTTTTAGTTTAAACTCTAGTAGGGAATATTGATAAAATTAATTGTGAATTGCTTTCCTTATACTACACACAATCATAATAAAAAGCTACAATTCATGTCTATTTTATTCTCATTGGGACAGGTTCAAAAATACATACAGAATTTTCATAGGAGAGGTCATGTTTCTGTATCTGGAAATTAACTATGCAACTAACTCATTACAAATATGCTTCTTATCAAAAGGAAGCTTTCTTTTCAATCATTTTCTCCATTCCCATAGTAGTAATATTGTGAGGCATGTATTACATGTCACCTTTCCTCTTCACACCTGAAATGCTTACTTTTCTTTTCCTATTTATCCTAAATGACCACAGGCCCTTTTGCTAAGGACTCTTACTGGTTTTACTGCAAACCTGCCAATCAGCTGATTACAATTGTCCCTTTGGTTTTCACATTATTGCCACAGACAGCGGACAGACTATTAGCACCAAAATTCACATTTATAAAACTCCCTTCTCAGTGATATAAAATTGATCTCAGTTTTAGTGATATAAAAATGAAGGCATATGTAAAACTGATCGTGAGTGGGAGCGCTCAGCATGCTTGACACACAAACGCTCATCCTATAAAGCAAAACCATATCCTAAGTAGTTAGGATTAAGCACAAACTTGTCATAAATAAGTAATTACTTTAGACCTGATCCTCACGCCAACCAACTTAATGAAGCTACTCAGCTCAGCCTTGGTAGCTGAGGATTGAAGAGAAATGTTCATCACCTAACATAACTCAGCAGCCCTGCTTGATTTCAGGGGGCCTTTTGACTCCAGAGACTGAAAAGGTAGAGTTTTTGCTTTCACATAGGACTCTCTCATCCCCGTGCTAATCTAGGCCCTGGATGACTAACCCCCACAGCTGACACAAACAGATGTTTTTACTTGTTTGAACTGTTAGGTCAAAGGGCTAATGAACTAATGACAATTCTTTAAAGATCTATCAAATGAGGCACGATTAGTAGATTTTTCAATCCTTATTTATATGAGAGAAAAGAATGAAGAAAATATTCTGCACTTACAAAGCAATTTCCATCCCAGTCTTGGTTAATTGGCAGATTTAGAAATAACAAAATAGTAATAATTAAAAAAAGCACACATACCTCAAGAGCTGAATCAGGAACCTCCAGTCTGGCCGAGTAGTGCTGCACTTCCATCAGCTGTGTTATAACTTGCATTATGAATATCTTTTCTACTCAAATACTGTGTGATAGAATAACCGTACGATTATGCTGTCTCAGCAAGTTTTTAATTTTTTCCCCATAGTATTCTTCTTTGCTCAACTTTTTTTTGTGTTTTCCTTGGTATATGTCCTCTACCGTGTCAATGTACTTAAAAATATGTTCTAGTCATATAAACATGTCCCTCAATTTAACATTTGGGATAACTGCATAAGGATTATTCCAAGTTGTGTTCCAGCAGTAAATCCACAATGTATTTCAGAAATATTTCCAGAGCAGCAACACCTTACTACAGTAATAAATCAAGCAATTTTTTGGAGGTTTATGTGTACTTACATAAAATTCAGCATTTACTATATAGTAATCATTTGTTTTCACCTAGAAGTAAATAACTTACTTTGAAGATTCCATACCAAGGTAATATACAATGCTCCCAAACCAGTTAATACTGAAGAAATCCAAACTTAAACAAAGTAAACAAAGTTAACAAAGTTGAGTTGCTACTCAACTCTACACAGTGTTTATTTTAATTTTGTTTTTGATAGTGGAAATCGTGTATAAATCACAAACAGTACAAGTTTCTCATGTCTGGCAGTTGTCCCCATGAATGGGTCAACTAGTGGGTACAGACACTGTATTTTTAGTATAAAGTCAAGATAATACGGCAGTTAACTAATACTCTCAACTACAGTAAAGATACAAACTTTTGTAATATAAATTAATTGCCATTACAAAAAGGCAACTGTATTAACTAATACGGTACAAAAATCTGCAACTTCTATAAATATAATGAAATGCAAGAAGTTAAATGAAATAATACATCACAGATTTCTGTAAAGCGCATGGGAATAGGCAAGCAAAGATACACATGGAACATTATACAGCAAGAAGGAATATCAAAACCCACTAAGATTTAACTTTTCGTTTCTCCATACAAATGCTAGAAGTACAAGTACAGGACACAACATGGAAGCGGTGAAGTTACCAGTAGGGAAGTGGGAGACAAAGAAGTCTTACTGACAAGTTGTAAAGCATCAGGCAGCAGACAGAAGCTTGTCAAAACCAGCTGTTGTTGGATACTGATTGATAATGTTTTCACTCTGAAACACTGCAGACAGCCACAGGTCTGAGAAGAAGCCCAATGTGGGCACATACACATACACACACATACGCACACAAAGTAATTCAACAGATGTCTGAAGAACATTAAAGCACAGTATCTTTTTTAAAAAGACAATGTTCACTCCTTAATGAACTTGCAAGGAAAGTCGAGCCTAGTGCCCGAGTTTATTTCACCTAAATGATGAACACATGTGAAAAGAAAGAGAAAAAAAAAAAAAAAGCAAATGAGATTGTTCATCTGAATAAAAACTGCACGGTGCTCACATATTCTACCATAACCATAGTATTCAAGAACACTTTAGACAAGGAAGTGTGACAGGAGTTGCTGTGAACATTTTTAATCCCTCCAGAAAAAGGTGAAGGTGTTTAGACATTAAAAAGTACACATCCACTTAAATCCATCCACAACACAAAACCACAAGAGAACTACATTCAAAGTAAAGTTAAGTGTTGGTCTTAGCCATAATCAGTTATGAGGTATTGTTTCAACCTGTGGTAAGGAATGATCACTGTATTAGTAAGAATAAGCAATTTTAAATCATTCATTATGAAACAATCACTGCTCCTGTGCAGCTGGCATTTTCCTAAAGAAAAAGCATTAAACATCAAAATGTCCTTGTCTAACTACATGGGCATATGCCAAAGCCATGCCTCTCTRACCAGCTGGGCCTTTTAGATGGTAGCCACGTAGCACCTTCCAACAGTGCATAGTTGGAAAATCATAACCAAAATATGAATCAAAAAGCTTAAAATCTTTAGGCTAGCCTCACTGATGACACAAGTATGAACAGTTCCAAGAGTTCAGTTCAGTTGGGATTATTTTCACTTGTGACTTTGGTCCCTCACTTACATATCAGAAAGCAGGGGAAAAAAGCAAAAACATCTAAACTCTCACCTTCTAACTCATGTTAAACGAAAAAGCTATAAAAGATCTGAATCCCTCTTTTTGCCTCCCGAAACTGCCTGCCTTTCCTGGGAAATACTTTGCCCACTCCTCACTGTTTCTTACTTGTCACTGTCCCTAATAAGGCCAAAAATCTGGGGACAGTGGGGAAATTTGGGGACTCTGTGTGCACTCACATTCAAGTGGGAATGTAAACCCAAGTATCAGATAAAATTCCTCTTTAAACTGAGGAAAGGGAGTCTTCTTAAGTCACACAAAAGAAACTCAGGGGTAGCTGGATGATTTCTAAATTGTACTGAAAAAACTGGAACCAACACAGCACTCCTCAGCCTGTATTTTAAAATGAATGATTCCAGTTCTTGGGTATTTCCAAGAGGACTGAGGAGACTGACCTGGCAGGAAAGTGAAGAAAAACAAAACAAGAAGAGATGTCCTTCAGGCTTAGGAGCAAAGCTTTCTGGCTAGCCTATTACAAAGTTAAACAAGGAGCTTACCAGTTTTCCCAGCTTTGTTCTGATAATAGGAAGTGAGCTGAAACAAAAATTATCAGGTCATGCATTTGCACTGATATAGCTCTGAAGAAACAAGCCAAGAAATCCATGGAAATTAAAAAGTAAACAAAAGGCTATAAAAACATTTTGTTTAAAAAATAATTACAAATAATAAAGAAACGGCTTTTATAAGCCTTTATAAGTTGATCCTTGCTATTTTATTTTGCTCTCAGATAAACTAGTGAGAAACTACAATGTATTTTAAACTCAAAGAATAAATGTTCAGAGTGGAAAGSTACGTTGCTTAAAGACCTGAAAAATGATTTACAAGTTTAAACAAGAGAAGCAGAATCTATGAAGGACCATTGGCACATCACCCAGCTTGCATTTGCAGACACTCATGCACACGAGGAGCTGAATGCACAAGGCACAACATTCAAGGCATGCACCAGTCCACAGACCGGTCTGCACATACCCTGTTGTGACTAAGCTGTGAACCACTGACCTGGCACATTTTTTTTTAACAGAACAAACTGGTTTATATGGTTTTAAAAACCAACAGAAGGCAGCCAAAAAACTGCAAATCTACAATGGGGAAAACTTGGAAAGAGGAGATATGCCCTGTGCTACTGGAACCAAATGGGATTTTTCCAAAGGTGTTACAAATATTGTATCCATGAATACTATTTAGTCTTCTAAGTAACATTCAGCCCAGAGGAAGTTTTAGAGAAAAAGTTATAAACCTTTGAAAAGAGAAGCTTATAATACAAACACTGGCAGGCCCTTAATTGTGGTATAGATACCTTGGCACTGTTTCGATTAACAGTAGTCTCTAGGAGAAAATGATACAGGAGGCAATCCTTATTTAAAATCAGTCACACTTCAAACCAGCAACAAAGCATGCCTCCACAGCTGATTTATGAGACGTTTGCTTTGCTTCTCCTCATGAAAAAACAGCTTCAGGGAAAGTTATTACTTTACCCCACTTCTGTATATTTTCTACAATGTTGTTACTTGCATCATCTGTTTTTGTCACCTATTCTTAACAAACACTGTTACCTGAACATACATTTGTGCCCTAATTTCCTCTTCAGGAAAATTCCACCAAAATGATGTTTTTTGCCTTTGACATGGCTATGCATTAGTTTTTAGAAGAGGAATCAACCAGCATGTCAATTATATTTTCATTCAGCAAAACTCCAGACTAAACTGTGCATTAACAAGAAACTCCTTGCTTTTAAGGTATCATACATCAAGATTCTCAGTGGCTGTGCTTTCTAGACAGACTGTGGGGTCAGTAAACAAGCTAATACAAATCAGTCTTACAAATCCCTAAGACATCAGTTATTTTTAAAAGCCAATATAGCAATTAGAATTCCTCCTTTACAGACTACGTTATTTTTTGTGCGTGCAAAATTTCCTATCAAGGATGATGACAACTCAAGAAAGCAACATGCAGTGTGTAGAACTAGTGGTAAACAAAGAGGAACTCCCTATTTCAGTAGTGTAGACAATTTTACTGGAAATAATCTTGTACCTGATTCACAGAGCGTTTAATTTAACAAAAGGGTATTCTGCACTGTGTATGAGCAATGTATCATAGCACAGTCTTGATACCACACCATAATTAAGCTGTGAGCAGAATGAACAGGTACAGTGATGACGGAGAACCACTCTTCTCTCTTGCATTTCACATTCTTGAAGGTTCGAAGTCTCTCTCTTCTAATAAGTTTATTAGAAGGGAGAAGCTGTCTTTTACTGCTTCCATATCGTCCAGGGAGCAGGGCTTAAGAATCCAGCGCTTTCCACGTGCAAGTGGTTCAAGTTCAAAATATTTTTTGATCTATTAAGAAAAGAAAAAAGACAAATCTATTAATAACATAATGACAACATACTTAAAAACAAAACAAAACAAAAAAATCACCTGAAACCAACATGAAAAAAAGATCAAGGATACTCATTTTTAGAATCTTCTCATAGCTGTTCTTATAATATAGGTTATATGTTGTGACCTGAAAGTGTTTTCTTTTGGGGTGAGTGACCTGCTTGGAAGCTACCATTCTACCAATACATTTAACAGCATGGGAGGTCTGGGGAAGAATTATGCACACTTAAGGCAGAGCAACGCACATGAAGCAAGTGTTCAGGAGGAGGAAAAAAAAAAAAGGCAAAATGGAAAAAATAGAAGTAAGAAATTTTAGGGTAGGTTTGTACTTGAACATTAAAGCTATATGTGTCTTTGGTAAATATTCAAGATAGATTAGTTTCACAATAACTTTTCTAACAACAACAACTCTCAGAAATKTACAAATCTTAAACATTCCATTCACTATAGCAAGGGGTTTCTTGATGACTTTCAGAGCACTGGAAAAGTAAAAATTCTTCCAAAATCAGTTACATTTTTTTTAATTACACAGAGAAAACTGGAATACCACTTTGATTATATGTGAGATATAATGCATTTCTATGATATTCTTCATTCAAAATCCAGTATATTCCAGGAGCTTAAACTACTTTCTAACAATAGGAAATAAAGGCTATAAAGAAGGAAACCCTTTAACTTAAGATAATTCTATTTCTTTATTATGCAGTAACCACAGCAAGGAGGCAGAAGAATAAGATGCTGCCTTACAGAGTTATAAGGATATTATAAACCTTGACAAAACATCCTGAGGAAGATGCAGTTTCTTGGAAAGACCAATCATCACTGACACTAATTACATTAAGTATCAAGTCAGAAACACAGAGCCACCAAAAGAATGCAAAATAAAAGATTGTAACTTGGTATCATAATTCAATCAGATTTCTTATCACATTTCATATTAGCAAGCATAGTGTCAAATCTGATTTTGGATCCTATTAATGATTCTTAGAAAAAGACGTCTGTTTGCAGGCTATTTTGATCAATAGATTACATTAAGCTATTTTCCATAAACTTTTAGTCTTTGATAGTATTTGATCCGATAGCCTACTCATATCTGACTTGTCCAAATGCACATTTAGTTTTCACATTGAAATTATACCCATCAATACTTGCTATTGTCAACAAAGCAAGAGAACTGCTTGGTCCTAACTTAGTTTGCACATTCTTGTTCGTGCTATATTCCCTGCCAAAATATTCTTAATTTTCTCCTGTCACTGACTGAGCCACAAATATGCACAACAAGAGGAACAGTTACTTGTATTGTGGTAGCAGCAGAGGCCCGGGGCAGGCAACCGTGCAAGACTGTGAGCTGCAAACAGAACAAGGCTTCAAAAGCCCCAGCAAATTACAAAATCTCAGAGTGTTTTATTGAACTAAAAGTTCAATCTAATAGTAAAAGATTGTGTTAACTCACATAAATCAGAAATGAATTGTGACCAAAAGGTAGGAAGGTTTTCTTCTATTGCCTATGAAGAACGGACAGAGCTTCTAGTAACAGAATAAGTGGAAAAAGAAAGTTTGCTTTTGAGCTGGAAACTACTGCTTCCCTCTGCCAAGAGGCAGATGAAACCTTTTAAAAATCTACTTCTAACATGGCAGAAGTGTCTCAAAAATGACCTGCAAACATGCAGACACTTGAAACTTGGTCCCCCTTAGAAAAATTCCAGAAAAAAAAGAACTGTGGAAATAAAGAGGTCCGACAGCTACCAGGATTTTAGCATTAACGTAGCTCTCCCTCAGCATCGCTGTCACCGCTTCACAGTAGCGACTGATATATCAGCACAGTTACACGCGACCGAAATGTAGGCACTAATCCCCACAACGGGGATAACACGATGTCTTCCGCAGCTGAATTAACACTCGGTTCCAGGCAGCCCCTTTAACGCGTTAAATCAGCGGCGCCGGGAGCCCAGGAGCGGAGACGGGCGCGCTCTGGGCTGCGGCGGCCTCCCTGCCCGCTCCAAGGCGCACCGCAAGCAGGCCCCGCTGGTGTTAAGCTGACAAATATGGCCGAGTAATCGGAGATTTTTCGGCCCTGTATCCAGGAGGATGCGTCCACCACACCCCCCCTACTGGAAGCCTATTGCCAGTAACCCACCCCGGCCTCCAGAGAGAAGGCTGCGTCCTAGGAAGGAGTGATGAGGAAAAGGTCATTACGTTTTAACGAGGCTGTTTAGGTTTAAAGGCATTAAGCGTCTAGAAGCACACACATAATGTGGGAAATGGGGGCAGCGAGCGCAGCAGCGCCGAGTCTTGTGCCTTGGTGAGCACCGGCGGCATTGCTTAGCAAGGCAGCCTCTTGCCAAGAAAAACATAGGGACTTTAAGCCTTATTTCAGTGCCTGAAGACTCCAAGGATAACTGTTATTTCAGCAGTAAATACAGCATCCATTTATCAATCCATTTACCAATTTTGCAGAGAAAATCTTGATTTATTTTTACTTTTTTTAAAAAATGTGATGGCATTGTTTTTCACACCTGGTCATCAGGTCAGAGTCTCTGCAATAAGAAGCCCTCAACAAACACAAAAATTAAAAGTGATCATTAAGTGGTAGCTTCTTGATATGAGAAGTTTTGATGATTGCATCATAGCACAATGGTTGGATCCACGTAAGTAACAGCTATTTTAGGGCTACCTACAGAGAAAAGAACTTGCTAGATGACTTGTCCCTAACTCAAACATAGGAAAATAACAGCAATCAGCTCATCAGTATTAATTAAATAAAGTAGCACAGAAGTGATCTTTCACAGCCCAAGGGACACTTGGTGGAATTTTACTGTATTTCTTCATTTAACTTCACACTATACTGAAGTTTACCAAGTACCTGAGTTTTACCCACCAAAAATGTTTTGAAACTTGCAGAAAGAAGTTTGCACACACRCATATTTTCTCCTACAACTTCCTACAATGTCCTTCTGCCCTTCAAAACAGAAATCATTCAGTTCTAAAGCCAAACATAAAAGGGAACCCGCTGCTACGCGCGCGAGAGAAACAATCGCATGGCCGGGCACAGTTGGACCCGTGACACCGTTTGCAGAGTTGACTTTCCCAWGGGAGCTCTTGCTCCTCACACACCTTCCTCCCCTTTCCCCCGTGGCTGCTTTCCACATTACTCACATTGCTCCTCACTGCAGTTCCTGAGGARGATGCACACTAAGCAATCACCAAAACACCCAGAGGAAGCCGAAATTCTGCTGAAATGTTGCAGTTCTTGCAAAATCAACCCTCAACAGTAACTATTCTACAGCTTCCTTAGCTGTGCCTGTACAAAAGAGGTTGGCTACAAGAGGTGCTCACTGTCTTCCTCTGTGGTGGAGCTGGTGAAAAGCTGTCTGCCTGTTCATAGATGCCAAAGCAAAACATGACAACTCAGACACACTTCACATCACTGATGCAGTACATATACATTTACATGGGAGCTCTGCACTGATGCAGTAGATATACATTTAAGTGGTAGCTTTGCATCATCATGTATGTTGCATCATGCTGCAAAGTTTTTAAAATATAAACTTGGAGGAAAATACAACCAATTAAAACCACATTATTTTAAGATGTGTTTACTACTATTTTACCAGTCCTCAYTGTACGTCTTGAGTCCACATGGAGGACTTGTTTTATAGAGAAGTTGACATCGTATTTTTGCCACGTTTTTAAGTCAATAAAATCCAACAAAACACGTTTGCAATTATTCCCACTCTTCCCACACTCCACCTTCTAAGTCCTATTCTACTGGCACAATACATGAAGCATATGGCTATCAAATGTTGCTTAATCTATGTGCTAGAAAAGACACAATAAAAGGATAGATGCCCAGAACCTCAGCTGGTGTAAATTAGCATAGCAGCATGGAAATGATGTTACTAAATGGATCTACGTAAACCGAGTAACCAGTGGTGCTGAAAGCTTTTGCATGTTCTGTTAGAGAACCTCATCTATCCAGTTCACAACACACAYGAATACAAGACACGAAGGAAAATGTAGCATCTCTCACACAGGATTCAAGGGTCATTTCTGCTTTTTACTCAAAATCAATGAAACCTGTTTGAAAGTATTACTTTCTACCAGCATTCAAAACATCAAAACCAAATTTCATCAACACTTTAAAAAAAAAAAAAAAAAAAAGCAATCCACTCTAATCTGTTATAAAGAAATGTATGATGCAGATAGTACCATACAATAGTACACTTTATTCAGAGAACTTAGTGGTTGAAAAAAAAATGCTGCTATATTGAACAGTTTTACTGGGAACACTGAAATAATAATATTTTAAAAAGGCAATAATATGATACTACATGTACATGATACCTCTTCAGAAGCAGCATAATCATGTCATTCCTAAGGCAGTGTTCCCACTGGTCTGGATTTTTCAAAGACTTTTACAGGAATAAGCAAAGATCCTACAAGATTGGTGTAGATGAAGTAAACTAAAATTTCCTAATTTGCTGAGCCTCTAACCTCAACCACTAAGGAATAATACACTCATTTACGCCAAATCTGAATGGAGAAGAATTGCAGTAAGAAAGGGAGATTTGAGTTCTCCATATGAACAGAATAAAAAACCTGCCTTTTGGAGCAACTGTTTAGAAAACTTAAGAGAAAGATGATTTTATATATATATATATATGTGTATATACACACTCTGGCTGTAACAAGGATAGAAGCATGCTCATATCCAGAATAGTTGGAGAAAACAAAAACAATAAAGTCCATTGTGTAACATTGTTTTGAAAAGGGAAACTATATAAAGTGAGAAACTTAAAGGAAATTAACAGTGCAGCCAAAAAGGTAAAATGCTTGCAGGTGGCCCAAGGGAAGAAAAAAAAACCAACAACAACAACAACAAAAAAACACATACAGAAACATAATTAGAGACTCAGAGTATATTTATATTACTATAGAAGACTTTAAAAGAAACAAAA